AGCCGGCTGCTTCAAACCTGCTGCTATTTTCAAAGATACTGTCAGTGCAGGGCTCATGTTGTTTACATAGAAATTTTCCACAGCTCTATGTTTGACCCTACGAAACGCAGACTGCGAAAGCTGTGTCCATCCGAACATGGTGCAGGTCCAGGTACTCAGGATATTCCCTTTCTAATTAGGGTTACTGGGGATCTTCTTCCCCACAGCTTCACAGTGGTCCCAGCTGGTGCAGCCCACCTCCTCCTTCTGCAGACCATCTCAGAGGTGAGATCAGACTAATTTCCTATTGCACAGGCTTCTGTTGAATACAGATGAGCTGTCACAAGCCCCACCTGTGTGGGAATTAATGTAGCTGTTAGCCCTCTGAGGTTTAATGTTTTTAGGCCAAACGCTAAGAGGACAGTGTTGGTCTCTCCGAAGATCATAGTGATGGTCTCTGTTTCTGAGGTCAACCCATCCAAAACGGGCTGCGGGAGATGGTCAGTGCTGGGATAAATATCTGCAAAGAAAACCGGCTGACCTTTTAGTTGAGAGAAGAGACCCCCCTGGGACGGAGAAGTGGGCGCAGAGGTCTGTATGGAAATGTTGGCCATGTGTGCGTTCACAGATGGGACTATGCAGGAGCAAGCCTATGGAGGGACGGGGGGCTGGTCAGAGACTGGACTTGAGAGAGGAAAGGGATGAAGGGGTCTTCAGAGATGCTTGTGATTAGAGAAGCAAAGGGGAAAACTAGGAGAGAGGTGTTTCTAGAAGCATTGAGCTGGCAGTGCTGGAGGCAGTAAGAGGGATGAGAGAAGCTCACTGCGCTGCGGCTGGAAAACACCGTTATGATCTCGGCAGAAGCAGTTTCAATGGCAAGCCATCGCCAAGAGGCTGCGTTGGAGGAGGCATAGCATGGAGCTGAAGGGAAAGAAAACCTCAGGCACTGACTGCAAACAGCATCTTCAGTGAGCTTACAGGTGAGACAGGAAAGCAGTGGTAGCTGTAAAAATCAAGGGTAATGATGTTTTTTTAGAGTGGCATTATGAAGATGTGCTGCAAAAGAAAAGAGCCAGAGAAGCATAGGGATGAGGCAATAATGAATTAAAAAATGTTAAAATCAAGTTATTAGAGTAGGAAGACAGGTAGATGGGAGGCAGCACATGAGCAACCTCGGCATGTGTTGTGCAAATGGGGAAGCAATGGTCAAAATGTAGGAGGGGGTAGTCTTATTTTTCAGTTTTGTCTGAGAAAGAGACTGTGTGCAAAGAGCCATGGAAAAAGGTGGTGGAAGACTGGGAAAAGCAGTGAGAAGGCATGTGTGGGAGGGACAGTTGTTCAGGAGGAAGAGCTTTGGCCAGGGACTTCTGCCATTTAAGAGCCTGAGGTAGGGACAGGGTGGAGGTGTGATTTCTTATGAACGAGGGATTGGCAAAAGTTCAGGGTCAACGAGAGCGATGAGGGGGAAGAGAAGGGGAAGAGGTTACATGTGCTGATGGCTTGAAAGCTGTGGGGCATGACAGACTTGGAGAACTTCGCAAAGAGGGAGAAAAGAAGTGACGTGGTGAGCACCTGGTGAGATTAACTGCACTTTTGCTAATGGATTAGGATGAAATGAGGGCACTGGAGGAATTTCAACCCACTTGGGCCATCTGGAGCCCAAGAGCTCTGGTCCTCATCCTGAGCTGCCCCACCAGCGGGGATTTGGAGCCAGGCATCAGCAGGATTTTTTGATGCTGCAGATCTCCAGTGGCTGCAGGGTGAGCTGGATCATGCCTGGGCTCCCTAATGCCTTTTAAAGGTCTTGTTTGCGCTCTGGTGACTTTTCCTTCTTTCGATAAAGTGGTTATCTAAAAACCGGTAGAGCTGGTGCAGCCTTGACTTTTACAAGGTGCCTTGTCTGATACTAAAATACAACACCAATAATCTTACCTGGCTTAAAAAAAAACCCCAACAAACAAAAAAAACCCTATCTCTACAGCCAGTATAGTACAGGTTTTAAATTTTCTGGTGATTTTCTTTGTAAACTGCTCAGCAGGGTATTATTCAGGCAGCTGCATCAAGGGACCAATATAACATGTGTTCTCAATTTTGGACCCTTTATGTTGGGAATTTTCCGTTGTGCAATTGCATTAAATCTGAGGCGGCTGACAAGAGCACGATGTTTTCTAACTCTACACAAGGTTAAATGACTGAAATAAAAATAGATGGAAAAGAAAACAAAGTAAAATAAGTTTGCTTTTTCATGTAATGGCAGGCAGTAGCGTGAGGTCAGGGACTTAACAATAGCCCAGCCATCAGTCAGGGACCGTGAAACACCTGATCCTTCCTAAATCACTTTGGAAGTTATCCTCTGTTTCAGATGCTCATTCTCTTTCATTCACACAGATCATATAACCAAGAAGACCATGTTCAAAGTTATCATTTTTATATAAATTGTGGTAATAATGACTCTATTTGTGAAGCATTTTACTTTCCAAACGCCTGGGCTGTAGGATGTTATTTGCAATATTTTCCTTACTAGGAAATGCATGATTTTTACAACTGCCTGTAGGAAAAATACACGCTGGGCTGGTGTCACGGGAAGGGGGGAAGGCAATCTGCAGAGCAGTAGGGTGGTCTTGCACACAGGAGAGTCGATGAATTTACAAATGCAAATGTCAGGCCAAGATGGCAGCTACAGGTAAAGCTGGAGCTCTGATCTTCAGAAAGAAGCATCAGTTGGGTGGTAGATCACGGAGGTTTGCAGCCTCATGTGCAGCTTGTGGGTCTCTGTCCTGCAGCACTCCAGGATCATTCTGGAGTTGTTTTTGGCTCTGTGTTCCTGTCCAACAGGGCTTTCACTTTTGCCCCTGTTTTACATTTCACAGGTTTTGTTTTCGACCCAAACTGCAAAGGCAGCTGTTCTTTTTTTCTCTGAAGTTTAGACAAAATGTCAGACCAGCTTCAGCAGGTACCAGCCCTCTAGTCTCTTGCAGATTGTCAGCACAGTGCTGCTTGAATGTTTGTTAAGGAAAGTTTCATAAACAAAAGCAAGGGCAAGTGCCATTTGTTATTATAATTTTCTTATTGAAGCAGAGCTTTATGCATTTGCAGAGTTAATAGCTTTTGTTCAGGTAGAGAATGAGGTGACCTCAAATGCTAAATCCCATTTTGTTCTGCTTAAATGACCAGCTGCACCCCACTACAGTAGTTTACGCCCTCGTTATTATTTTGTTGTCTTTGTGTTTTGGATACTGGTATTTTAACTATGAGGTCCTCTGGCGTTAGAGCAGGTCTCTTCACCAGGGTGCTAAGGCTGGACACCTGCATCCAAACAGGGCAGACATCCAGCCGGCAGGTGCCCTTTTCAGCACAACCTTCTTCACACCCTTTGGTGCAATCTTGTTTAGCCTTCAGAGATGGTGTTTCTTGAGCAGGCAGCTCATTTTGCTGGGTTCCTCGGGTGATCCTGGTAGACGCGTTCCTCTGCATGTCCTGTGGTTAGGTGAGCCGTTAAGTTGTGTGGTTAGCAGGGGTTTTTAGCAACAAATGGGAAACTATATCCATTTAGGTCTGCAATGTGTCAGTCAGTTGCAAAAAATAATATATATATATGCGCCTGTCTTGTGAAAAAAATAGCTCAAGTTTAGAGCTGTGCAAGACAGGGCATTAAGTTAAAAATAAATCTTCAGAACATAGTGCATCTAAACACAAATTGTTTATTACTGGCTATTTTATTTATACCAGTTATGGGATATTCAACCACTGACATGGGAACAGCAAAACATAGTTTTTAATTCTGGGTTTGGACAGGAACGCAACAAGCAGCAGCTATGAGAATTTAGCTTTAAGACCACAGAACATAGACTTAAACCCTAATATAGCTCCCCAGGAGCAAAACCAGAGGTCAGGATGCTGCTGATGGTAGGCAGTGGTAGAATGCCCCGTTGCCGGCATTTCCATTAAAACTGCATCTTTGTCCGATTATAACGTACAAGCGGAGACACATTACTTTATATCACCGCTGTTGGTTGAGTTTCATCACTGGGGCCCTTCATCAGGCGTGCTGGCCCCAAGTGCTTCCTCCGGAGCACCCCAGCTGTGGATGCACCTTTTTTTTAAATGAATAATCAGATGTAAATTGGTAACAGAGGTGAAAACTCAACCATGTGCTTCTCTGGTTTACCTAAAAGGAAAAGAAAGCAGCCATTAACTTAATTTTCTTTACTGTTGAAAGATACCAGAGTAGCTTTTGTAAGAACTTCAGCAGCACTGGGCAATCTAAACTGAGTGCCAAGCATGTTCCCTTTTAATGTTTGTTAGTGTCTATCTAAAAACTTACTTGCCATCTTTTGATTCTAAAGCATGAATGAAATTGAAACATCTGGTCAAAAGCCTGTGCAAGGAATATTTGTAATAGCTGGAGTTTTTATGGGTACAGCTTGCACTAGTTCGAAGGGCAAAATATAGAAAAGGCATGGTCTTAACAGGATCTGCTTTGCTCAATATTCATTCCACTCTGCATCAATTAAATGAGGAAAATAAAACCCATAATGTTTGCACTTGAAAAACAGCCAATTTTTCCAATATTTTCCTGTCACTTTAGCCAACAAATACTATGCCTGTTGGATACAGTGGTCAATGACTAATTACATTTTCTGTGTATTTAAAGGTTAAAGTAATTAAAAATGTCAAGCCTTTTCCTCTTTTAAATAAAAAAATAAAAAAAAAACAACCTCAGTTCTTGAGGGAATGAGGGGAGAGTGCTCTGTTTTACCCATGCATGGTCCAGTGCAGTAGTTGCAGTTCACAGAACTGCAAGTGGGCTCTGAGACTAATTTGTATTTTTCTGTTATTACTTTCCTCGGCCATTAGGAAAAAACAGCTATCAGACAGAGACTGCAATACACTCCTCCTACTTCAACCCCTCTCTGCCATTATTAATAGGGAGAACATTTTCCTGCTAATCATGTTTTTACACACACACACGCATATCCCCATGTATTTGTTTTGCTTCCCATTCCCTTCTATTTTTCCAGGTACAACTTGTTTGATTGCACTGTTGTCAGATAAAGAACTCACAGTGGCCAACGTTGGTGATTCGCGAGGAGTCTTGTGTGACAAGGATGGGAATGCTATCCCCTTGTCACACGATCACAAGCCCTACCAACTGAAAGAGAGGAAGAGGATTAAAAGAGCTGGTGAGTGGTAATGTTTTTGCTTTGGATTGAAGGTTCAACTTTTTTCTTCTCTACTCTGTCAATAATATAGACTTTTCCCCTGAGAGAGACTGAAAAGTACTAGACTGAGGCATCAGCAGATAAAATCTTCCATTATTAATACAGCACTTTTCAGTGGGATGTCATTGTGCAGACAGAGAAATGGAAGCAGATTGACCTACCCCTTAATGAGCCACTGTCCGAGTAAGAGCAGCAGCCTTCATCTTCAACAGCCAGTTGATCGTCCCAGCCAGTTCCCCTGTGATCTCTGCGGGGAGCAAATTAATAAACAGGAGCAGCAGCGTTACAGGCTTCGTCACACCAAACCGTATCAGGAGCCTTTATGTGAGAGGCTGGGTGAGGTTTAATTCCTAAAATAAGCAGAGCATGAATCTAATTCATCAAAGCTATTTTTTGTTCCCATATAGTGACTGCTAATGAGCACAAACGTGTAAATTGTAGCAGGAATATAGGGAAAGAATATAAGAAACAGCAACCTTTCTGCAATAAATCTTTCTAGCTTTCATCACTTGTCAGTTTAGTGACCTCCTGGGCTAGAAGTTACATTTGGATCATCAAGTTTAATAGCCAATCCTCCATTAATTTGTCAAAGTCTCTTTTGAACCCGTTTCTGGTTTGGGTCCCACAGCAGCCTGCAGTAGCAAATTATTTGACGAAGAAAAAAAGTTCTTCTCGTTTGTGTTAAACCTACCAATGAGCATTGCCTCCAGAGATGCAGTGTCTGTCTGCCTCCACGTCTTCATCTGCAAAGTGGAAATAACAAGTTTTTCCCTGAATATAAAACATTTTTAAAACGTACGGTTTATCAATACACTCACACCAGCATAAATGTTTGTACATGTGCAATGTGCACTTTCCTCTCAGTTTGCTTTTATCGCTGAGGAGGCATAAGAGCAGTGGGGATCCTTCCTGCTGCTAGACAGACTGCTGAGGTCACGTACGTTCCCTAAAGGGGAAGAAAAAGTATACAGATCCTAAGAAGAAGGAAGAGGAAAATCTTGGTCTCACTTTGCTTCAACTCTATACTTGGGGGATGTATTTTAATAAAATTTGGAGATTTGTCTGTAAAATTGCTTCCCTCTTAGCCAAGTCCAGGGCCTCTATGCAATTGTTCACTTAGAGAAGGCCTTCACTTAGGAGAAGAAAATAATTTCTTTCATTTGTATAGAAGTGAGTCTTTATAACTCAACAACGTGCAAAATTAACCTGGATTTTTGCAGGAATTTCCAACTTTGGAAGAAATTACTTTAATGGACAGGTAAACATTGTAACTATCTGCAGCTAAACAAGAAATACTCTATCTAGCCTAGTGACTTAATGAATTCTCTTCTCTGTCACCTATTGCCCCATTGTATTATCACAATTCATAGGGCCTCATAGTGCTGTTAAAAACATACAGTCCAGTTTATACTACTTTTACATTTTGGAACATCCCTTTGTTGCATACAGAAAGTGTAAAATTGAAGCAAAGTGCCCAAACTGAATTATCAAGCCTGCATTGCTACTGTGACAAAAGTACCTGACTTTTTTCCACATTCTAGATACTTTCTTGTCTTGTAGAACTGAAGAAAGTGACAATCATTATCTTCCATTTCAGTTTTCCAGCTTTACATTGCACCATCAAGCTGCGCTGTCCAGTGCCTTGTAGGTAGTTACAAAATGACTGCACATTTGTGTTAGTAGGATTAGATTTCATTTGAAAGTGAAAACCATATAGCCACGGTTGAGAAAATTTCCTTCAAACCTCATTCTGATATAGATCAATTTGAGGTGCCTGAAACAGCAGCTCTAAGAAAAGCGTGAATTGCCCTCTGCATTTCAGCAGGGCGTTAACATTGGGATGACAAGTCTAAACTAATCTGTCATTTTTTGCTGCCATGGTGGATGTTTAGTAGGCTTGCTGCTTGTTGCTGTCAGCGGTCGGTGGATGGGGAATGAATTTAGTCCCTCTCCTTTTCCCACTCCCAGCAACTGTGTACAAAGTCTTAGTCAACCCACAACCTGAAAAAAATTTTCCATTTATCAGTCCAACGTGACTCGAGCAGCAATTGCGCTGAAGCCCCAGAAGCTAATGCTCAGGTTTCTTGTGGGAGTTCCTGCAGTGCAGCGAGAGATCACTGGTACCCGAGCCTGCAGCCAAATGCCAAAAGGAAAGACAGCAGCTAAGAGAACAGGTCAGGTCCCTCCATTTCGAGCTGAGGTGCCGCATCTTGTGGAAATACCTGCTCCACAGCATGGCTGCGCAGTTAACAGCACGGGTCACAGGGTCTGGGTCAAGGCTGACTGTTATTTTCACAAGAGGCTGGCTGATGCACGCTCACGAGTGCTGGGGTGCTGCTTATCTCGCAGCTGAATGAGATCGGGGTCCCACCCCTCTGACCCATTCCTGTGGGATAGGGGAATGTATGTCCTGCGATACAAGGACGCTGGTTTCCCCAGAAAACACAAGGAATCTCCTTCTGATCAGGATCTTGAGCGATGTGTATAGTATCAGCGTAAGACAGTGGCCTTGAAACAACTGTGGTTTTGGCTTGTGAAGAAACACTCGGCTGTAGAGCCACAAGGTGACTGTCACCGCTGGAAATTTAAGTCATTCACCTTGAACATAATCCTCTGAGCTCAGCTCTCGCTAACATGCAAAATGTTTGTGCGGTTGCCAAAAAGCTTCTATTTCTTTAATGCCTTTTCTTCTCCAGTGGCAGCCAGCACTGCAGAATGTTTGCTTTTCCTTAAGTGTTTTTATGTATTCTGTATGGATGGCTTTATAAAAGAAAATATTAGAAGTGCCAACAGACACTTCAGCAAACCACAGGAGTTCACTTGTGCTGTAGGCAGTTCCAGGTGCCATGTGAGAACGGCACCGAAAAGTCACTTTGTACGCATAAGCACAACCTGCAAAGACTGTAGTAAGCATGCCACAGCAGCATCAGCTATCTCCTCTGTAAGTACAGTAATGGGTGCAGGCATTGCTGTCCTCTAATTGTGTGTAAAATATCTACTTAAAACTGCCTCTTCTTAATTGCATTTTGCTTCCCCTGTCATTGCAATATGTACACATGATTACACTCCAGTTACTATAGTCCTAACGGCTTATGAAAAAACCCTGGGCTGGTGAGTAGGTGGCTGGGTAACGTTCAACCGAGATGCCCTCAAAACCTACAGCAGCAGCTGGACGAGGTTGGTTTGACTGCATATCTAAAGAGGAGTTGCAGTAGGCTCACCAGTCCTTCCTTTTTTTGACTACGGAAGGAAACATCTTCATAATGGAGACTCCGTAGAAGTATTGAGGAAAACACCAGCTAAAAAGTTTTGTTTCTGCTGGCTTTAACACAAATCAAGTTTCAAGCTTTAAACAACAATGAATCGTTAAATGAAATGTAGTTTCACCTGAAAGCAGAAGGAATTCACAGATTAGATCAGCCAACCAGGAATGGAAATGCTATTGTAAGATTTAGGTGACTAGGTGACTGACAAATAACTCATGGGCTGAAGTGCAGAGCTGAAAACATTCTGATAACTACAAAGAACAAAGACATTTATAAGAACACCAAAGCAGACAGCTTGCAGATATAAAAGACAACAGTTCACCTAATTTTAACAGTTCACTACATTTTAATGTTCCACATTTGCAAATTGTTTGTCCTCAAGTGACTTTTCATTCATGTTAAGGTGACAGGAATATTGCTATGAAAACAGTGCAGACAGTGGCACACAGATGCACGCACAGGAATTGCAGGTGCTTCAATTTTACACTTTGACCTTGAACACCGTATAGTTCCCTCCCTGGCACAATCAGACTGTGTAGCAGCCAGGTGCTGGCTGTGTCAGAGTCATCGATTTCAGTGCAAAACATATCTCACCATAAGCAACCCCTAAATAAAATAATGTATTTTCAACTAGAAGTAGCCTTAATCCTGGTGTCAGTAAATCCTGGTAAAAATCAATCAGTCAGATCCCACATTGCATTTTTTCTGACTTGAAGTAAAATTTCATGATCGGTTTGTTCACAACAGTTTTTTGGTTCTTTTTGACACAGCTCATTCAAGGAAGTTTGATAGAAGAGCCTATAAATGTTCTTGCACTTGCTTCTTTGCTTTATCCCTTAAAGTGAGACGTGAGTCCTACTGCAGGGTGTTTTCAGTGTTGTTACCTTCATAGGTCTTCTGAAAGGGGTAAAACATGAACTACATAGAAAAAGGAGGTGTTTACTAACATAAGAATATAAAGATTTGCTTTCAGCACTTTTGTCTTAACATTGCCTAAGGCTTTCTGAACAGTAAGTTGTGTAGTACAGGAATACCTGTGTTCAAGAAGTTGTCGGTGTCTCTGGGGGAGTAGAGAGCATGAAGCTGCTTCGTTTCAAAGCGGAGCCATTCCTGACTTCTCTGCTTCAGTTGTTTCAAGAGCACTAGCGGCCACAATCCAGCTCTTCCCTGCAGCGCTCCGAGATTTACTTAAGGCATCTCCTGCTTTTTGAGACATGTAACATCTGTATACCTCAGGACACATCAGGATGCATTTTTGGGTGGGTCTGGCAGGAATCCAGAGAAATGCTTTAACTTTAAAAAGAACTGCTTTAAGTGTTGGTGTTTCTCTCCAGGTGGTTTTATCAGCTTTAACGGCTCCTGGCGTGTTCAGGGGATCCTGGCCATGTCCCGCTCGTTGGGAGATTACCCTCTGAAGAACCTGAATGTTGTCATTCCTGACCCCGATATTCTTACCTTTGACCTGGACAAACTGCAGCCAGAGTTCATGATCTTGGCGTCGGATGGTCTGTGGGATGCTTTCAGCAACGAGGAAGCTGTCCGATTCATCAAGGAACGCTTGGATGAACCACACTTCGGTGCAAAGAGTATAGTTCTACAGTCCTTTTACAGAGGATGTCCTGATAATATAACAGTGATGGTGGTGAAGTTCAGGAATAGCAGCAAAACAGAAGAACAGTAATTACCAGTGGTTCTCTGCCTCACTCTGAACTTAAAACAAACTCTTACATTTTAAACATAGTAGAAAGCTCTAGTAAATACCGTTAAGATTCTACACAAAAGGAACAGATCCCTCTGGTCTTTGTTCTTTGCTTAACAAAAGGAGCAATACAACAAATACATTCTGAGTGATTGTAAGAATTAAGTTTGTTCACATATACCTGTCTCCTGTGACCTTGCTGCTCCTTAGAAACTAACTGTAATCTTCCATTTCAGAATTTTCTTTACAAATCCTCTGTAGACTTTTCATTTGATCCCTTACCTCTCATTTCTAATAGTCAAAGGTTCGTTCAGATGCACAGCAGGGTCAGGGCAGTGCTGCCGCTTAATAGCAAGTGATAGGAATGATGCTGCTTTTCACTCATAGGTGTGACTCTTCAGAATGATGCTCTTGTGTTTCTCATCTCTTTTATTTTTTAATCTGCAGTGATAAGGTTGTATAGGAAAAGGTTTCGATTATTGGCCTGTTATTGATATGAAGGAGGAAGAGGAGCCAACTATTAGCCTGCTACCACAGAACTGGCTCTCTCGCTTTGTTTAACCTCCTCCTCCGCCCCTTAAATGAATCCCTGCCAAGCATGTGATTAGGTATAGTTACTGAATTACCTGAAGCCACATGTTTATTCAGTCTGTGCATTACTCTAATAACATTTCTTCTATGCCATGTTGTATTCAAACCAACTAATGTTCAACTTACTTTGAGGTCTGACACCTGTATCAAAAAATAGCTCTGTTGTGATAGAAGAAAGTCTGTCATTCACCAAGACTCACCCTTACATTAGTTTTTTGGCATGGACTTTTCATAGGCGTGTAGAGAAAGTAATGCAAGATAAAATTAATTCCATTAGTGACTGTTGGGAAAACTAATCAAGACAGGGCATTCCTTAGAGCTACCTAGATGGAAGTCAAGCCTATTAAAGACTTCCCTGTACCACTGCAGATTAATTTGTGGTGTTAATCCAGGGGAAGACCACTTTAGAACCGTTTTTTGGTATAATGTATAAATGGCAGGCAGTGTTATTGCACTGTAGAGATGAAAGCTTGTGTTAAATCTAGATAAAAATATGTTTAGAACTGACTTTCAGTATTTAATTGTATATCCTGATCTGTGACTACTGTAAGTTTAAACAGTGACGGTCTGAGTTTGCTCTACATCTGATAACTTAGTTGGCTGCTTCATGAACGAGAGGCAGCAGAAGCAGAGCGACAGGGCAATGCGTGTTAGAGGAACAGAGCCAGGGCCTGAGTTGGAGGTTAGTATTTTGGGTGGCTTGCTTACCCGTATCGTGTCTTATAACAATCCTTGGGATTCTCTCCCCACAAAATGTGGTCCTGGATGATCCCCTGAGGTCTCTTGTCTTCAGGGTGAGGGAGGTTGTCAGTATTTGGGTCCTGAGGTAAATCATGGATATAATGCATTAACTAACTTTGTGTCTGTTTCTTGGGTAAAGATACAATATTACCTAGCTAAAAAGTTACCTGTTTCTCATCACCCACCTATAGCCCTTTCTGGGCAAGTGGCTTGCTGGTCCCTAACATACTGTGATGTGTTGTGGTTGTGCTGAGCGGGCGTGTGTCTCTGAAGACGAAAATGAAAGAGCAAAAATTCTTCTTTCTGCTCAAGAAGGAATTCCCATCTTAGTCTTTTCATTTTTGTTCCTCGGTTATCTCTTCCCCAACAAACTTCCCTCCTTTAGCTTGTTTGGAGATAATCACAACTTTTAATTGGATCTGTTGCTACTACCAGTGCTATTCAAATTGTGTACGTATCCTTTAGCAGCCTCTTCTCATCCCAGACTCTGGGTAGAGCCCCTTGACTCTGAGGAACAGACAAGTGAAAAGCAGGAGTATGAAAGTGTCCAGCATGCTCTGAAACTGCAGGCACCCAGCCTGCACTGGTCCTTCCCCGGAGGATGCAAGGTTTCGGACTTTTTAAATCTCTTGAACAGTGCATTCAGTGAATTTTTAATGCAACTTTGCAGTTAAATTGAGCAGCTAACAGGAAATGTTAATAATTGCAGAGCGCTTCAGTTATTTTATTTTTAAAAGGTATTTGAGGTCAGAACGCTGTGAAATGAAAACCTGGTGTGATATTTTCATGGGAGTGCTTAATCATGTACTCATAATGCTACAGCAGCAGTATCGAAACTGCTGCAGGCAGAGCTCGCAGTGCATGTAGCATTTGCCTTTCCTTTCTCCTTCACAGACAATGTTTCCGTTGTACTGGCTTTTCTTTGTAGGACGCAGCTTGGATGTTTGTCAAAACAGCTGCCCAGGGAAAAGAAGAATTAGACCCAGCAGCCTACAGAACCCTAGAGCAGAGGGACGCTTGTATAGCAGAGACATCACTACTAATCCTTCACAGGCATTTGAGAAGTTGGAACTGGAACAATGGTCAGCTCCAAAAAAACCATTATAGACTAATGCCACTTGAGTGAAAAGCTCATGGCTGCCACTAAGCCTCCTGCAGCTCACGTTCTCGAGGTTAGCGAGCGTTGCTGAGGGGTGCCCGACCTTCTCCTGAGCACAGCTCAGCACTTGAGATAGACAGGAAGATGAGGTGGCAGGAATCGTACGCGTTCACAGACTCCCGAAGTAGCCGTGAGGAAGCAGTGGGAGGGTGGCTCGCTCTGGAAGTGAGCCACGCTCACAGGATTTAGGAAAACACATAGTGCAATGCAATACAGAACTGTTTCGCAGGCTTGTCTGGATATTTATTCCAGGATTCATTTACTCTGTCACTCACAGGCCCATGCGTTCAGTTACCGAATCAGCCCTATTTCAACCTCTGAGTGTCTGCAGTTGCAACAGTGGTTGTTTTAGCACCTTTAATGTTCCTGCAACACTCCCACCTTTGTAGCAGTAGCTCCTGTTCTTGGCCAAAGACATTCATGCCAATGATCTCTGGTAAGGTGGTTGACTTTTGGTTTTATTACTTTAAAAAACTAGTTACAGCTACTTTAGGTTTAAAAATGAAGGACTAATGGAGATGACAGGCTTCGTGCAGTCTTCCACATCCATGCGCAGTGCCTACCTATGCCCCCTGTTAGAATTCTGTCTTCTAAGAAGTGTTTAATCCAGTTCTAGACACCCATAACTTCCCAGTCATACTGATTTGTGCCAAATTCTGTCGTGATCCACACAGCTGTTGGATGACAAGATTAAGTAAGGTACCTATTGCTTACGCAACCTAAACGATCTAGGGTCTGATCCTCCACTGCCTTAATGATATATCCTACATCTGGAAAGGGTTGCCAGACGCTGCAGCCAGAAATGACCGCAGGTACGCTGGGGTACAGCACTGGAGAGGCAGTGCTTCCAGCACGCCATCCTCAGTCCTGCTTTCCTGCCCGGGCACCTTGCCAAAAAAGAAGGGAGATGCATTTTTGGTTCAAGTGGCTTGCACACATCTGGGAGCTGTGTTTGTGGAAGTTTTTTGTTGTTTAAGCCTGAGTAGCTCCACTGGTGACATCTGTTCATCAAGTAATGATGGCTTCTAATGGCAGAAAGCTGGTATGTTAAGTTGCTGCCAAAGAGCATCTTTCGTATGGTCCAAGAAGAAAAAATGTACTGTGTAATTAGTCATCTTATGCAGTACTTAAATGAATTTAGGCTTTTCCCAGAGGTATTACAAGCTAACAGTTTAACTCAGGTAGTCCATTTTAAAGATACAACCCTTTAGCTTTTAATTCAGACTGTAGACTGCCATTTAATTTATCGTTCTGATTATATACGAGCAGGGTTTTAGAGAGGCTGTTCACTCGCCCAGCGAGAGGGCTGTATCCTTCTCCCCCTGTAGCTCCGGGTACAATAACGGGGGTCCCCGGCGCAGGTGCCAGCCTGGTTAGGTGGGATCACAGCTCCGTCTAGTGGCTGGCCTGGCCCTAAGCCCGCTAACCAACCGCTCCTGGTTAAAGTTAATAGCTGCTTTCTCAGTCCACGAGAAAAAAACGCGTGTGATTTAACGTCCCCGTTGTCCCACGGGCAGAACTGGGCTGTGAGGTTAACGCAGAGCCGTTCTCTCAGGCTGAATTTTGCAGCAGTCCCGAAGCAGCGCGGGCTGCAGGCGCGCATCCCCAGACCCAGCCGAAACCCAGACGCTCCGCTGCTAAAACCGCGTGCCAAAGTTTGGCACGCCACAACCCTGCCCTGCGTCCCCTGCCAGCTCGCCCCCCGCACGCGTGTCTTCGCAACGTTGGTGAGTGCATTTTAAACGCGGTCCTAAAATTTCTGAAAACGCAAAATTTGAAATGAATGAGCCTGTTTTACCGAATAGACTGTTTAGATAAATAAAAAAAATGCCGTCTAACGTCATGTATTGTGTACTGACTTGCGAACACAAGGTCAGTACCAAAACTACTGCTAACGTTATTGCAGTATTATACCATTTACATAAGGTAAAATGAAGAAAGAAAAAAAAAAGTTGCGAGGTTTTTACAATACAGAAGTTAGTACTAAAGCAGTTCATCAGCTTGAACTAACAGTGTTTGCTACATAAACACTAACGCTGCATCTGGAAAAGAAGGGAGTTTTGTTCTTCAGCTGCCTCTCAGAATATATAACATTCTTGCTTTAAATAACGCTAATATATTGCTAATGTATCTGATACTTATTTTATGCAGAGACACATTTAGTAAGTGATTATACTAAAGAAAAAAACCTCACCAACTGTTCATTTCCTTAAGTAGGTTTTTAGGCCTCCATCCTGAACTCTGGCTGTACGAAATCGCAAGGTTAAAATTTAGAATGTTCTGCTGAGGTTTGGCAACTGTATAGACCAGAGCTGCTGCCCCTCAGTGTTGTCCATATATTTATAAATTATCTTTCTAAACCTGAGGACTCATACCTAAAAAGACATATCTAATTAAGTTAATACTGAGTGGAAGTTTAAATCACTTTTATTTATATAGTGCTGACTACATAAGGCTTAGGTAGGCAGCTGGTTTACATATAGTTTTCCTGTAGGTAACAGAGTTCTAGGTATCAGTTGTCTCTAGTTATATATGATAGTCCAGATGCTCTGTTAAGCAAAATGCGTGCAGTCAAAGCAGTTGAAGCCTGTCTACAACCATCAACAGAGGCTCACATCAAAAGCAATTCTTGAGGAAAGTTTTGAAACCCGCTTTTATGAGCAGGTCGGCTCCTATGTCTGGTCTGCTCAGTCTTCAGGAAGAACTCCGAATTAGTTGAGCAATAGGGAAATAAAGCACTTTTATCTGCATTTATCTGTGCCCCTGCAGATGCGCTCCGTTGGCTTCAGCTGTTGTTGATGAGAGGAGACTCTCACGCCAGAACTGCCAGAGTCCGCGCGTGATTCTTACATTTTCTCCTTCTGGTGAGAAAAACTTAAGTTATGTTAAAAACATGAGTTGTTTGGAAGAAGTTCTTTGGAGCTGGTTCCGTTTTGTACGGAATCTCTATGCTGCTCTTCGGTACATCATTCCTATGTGCATAAGCTAGGTACAAAACATAAGCGGTGGTTAGCAATCCTGGATTTACAAATGAACTCAATTTTTATGAAGTCCAAACGCATTTACCTTTAACAGGGCAAACCGTAACAATCGTGTAACCGTTAACTACAAAGTTAACAGGAGCAGGGTCTAGAAAAACAACTTTAAAACCTGCCCTGTGTGAATGACAGTAAAACCACTTCTAGCCAGTGTATTAGGAAATGCGGTCTCAGAGACAGACTCATTATGAAAACGAACCGCACATTTAGAACTCTGCAAGGGCAGGTTGGAGCTTTATTAACAAAAAATCCTACACAACGCACAAGATAACAAAACCTCAATGTTTAAGTGATCCATCTTGGTTAACGACAGCTTCCATTTAGTACAACACGGCTGTATTACCATAGATAAGAGCCTCTTCAGGCTTCTCTGTAACATTTTTTCACTCAGAGCCAGAAGCGTTTTAAAGATTTTATCTTTATTGCAAGCTCAGGGGAGGCCGCACTTTACTCCTAGGTGGAGGACCACCGCAGGCCAAGCATGACTGAGAGGAGCGGCTAGGACGTCGGGCTGAGCCCCATCCCAGTCGGGAGGGACGTGACACCTCACACCATCGTCTCTCACACTGTAAAAAAAAACCAACTCATTTGGATTAACGTGGCCGGGAAAATTCATGTGCTGCGCAGCAACTGTCTGGAGGTAAACAGAGCTCAGATGTAGAAACCATCTCAAGAGAGGTCACTTGGGGTAAACTTTGTCTTTTTGAGTCCTTATTTTATAGGAGGAAAATAAAGTCCCGAAGTCCTATAAGGGCAGGTGAGACAAACTATCTACACCACAGGTAGTATTTCCTCTTGAGAGTTGCAGGTCGATACTGCTTTTAGCTAAGAATCGTGTAACTGCAGCATTTCAGAGAGGCTATATTTTCTTTAGTCCTGTGAAAGAAAGCGGCTTTAGGATTTTTAGAAACCCCATAAATAAATGGGGGGGGGACACGTTTCGTTTTGTTTTACAATTTTAGGTATCTTGTACAATTTTAGGTTTCTTTAAAATGTGGACTCGACTACACATGAAAAAAAAACCACCACCAAACCCAACCATCTGCTTAGCTTCATTTCAGCTTCGTTTTCTTTCCTTCCTACATGGAGTACTTGCATTTGGATATGGTTTACAGCTTAATGTGCAATACACAGTAACAGCATTAAAACCCGACAAGCTTAATTTAACGGAGACTGCAGAAACCTTTATGTCTCTTTCCCTACCACCTCTATCTTAAGCAAACTGTAAAGTACTTAATAAATGAACAAAATGGTGCACTCGGACAAAAATGGAGATGAATGGAAATTCAAAAAATAGGGAGCAAAGCTCTGCCTCCCAGACTCCTTCAACATACCTAACATAACCGATGGACACGTATCGGGAATTCAGTGTCACATTGTTTGGTTGACCTTCAGTTTTTAGTTTAAATTTGAAAGAATATGATAAAACCACATTATTTATTGTGCATCCAGGCAGTCGTGAGTTACTTGCAATGAGCTTGCACTGAAATGCTTTAGTAGTAACTAGAAAACATAAGACAAAACTTAGGAAAATACTCCAAACCATCTGTGTCTTGTTAATGCTGAACTGATCCCAAAGAATAATGCCCCTACACTTGCAGCACTTACTATTTCGTGGTTTATTTTGAACTTGTTTGTTGTAGAATGCACACAAAACATGTAAGCATTTTGATGTTTTTAACTCTTCTGAAATAACATACAGGCAACACAGGCTTGAAATTTCACATTGTAAACCCCCTTTGCTATCCACCCAAACATCTTTGACCAACAGATTATTGTTAGGCTTTTCAAGTCAGAAGGCCCCACAATTTTCATATCAAAATCACAAGTGCTTGGAATTCTGATTTAATACAGCTTCCTGAACCACTTGCCTGCACGAGAAAAAGAATCTTAGGATTTGGAAGAAATCTTAGCCTGTGGTTTAGACTTCGGTTTTAGTACAATATTGTAGGCAGATGCAGTAAAATTTGGGCCCACCACTGACTTACATGCTTATATTAGTTGACAGTCTTAAGCTTTTTTTTACCTCTTGCATGGCTGCTCACACTAGAACCTTTCCTGATACTTGCTTTAAGCAGAAACATTAGCTTCGTTATGAATTTTTATGGTCTTTTAAGCAATAATAAGGTCAGACTCAAATACAAACCAGATTTGGAAATGAGGGTTTTTTTAAAAAAAAAACAAAACAAAACACAACAGGAGCAGAAGTATTTTACAATGTAAATTTCTTGCAGAATTGATGTCACTTTAGGTTACAATTTCAGGCGGCATCAACAGATCACTGTGTATAAACCTCCATTTGTGAAAGCAAAAGCCTTGTAATCTATTATCAGTGTTATCATTCTGGGGCACAAATATAAAAAATACCCTGCTTGGTGACAGTTTTGTTTTTATTGCAGTCCTGCACAGCCATTTCTCTGTGATACTCGTTTCTTACTCTCTCAAGAGGAGCACTGTCTGCTTTATCTATCCAGTTTCTGAAGATTGCGTAGTCTTTCATAATTATATTTTTTTTGAAAAAGCAATACAAACCGTGCTGTAGTATCAGTGTTCTTGTGACAAATAATTTATTTCTAAACATTTAATATGGCAGGCTTATAAAAAAAAAATTGGAGGGTTTTTTTTTTAAGATGTATAAACAATCAAAGAACAAGTTAAACATTTCTCACAGAGCTCTCAGGATCTGACCACAGTACAACAATCAAATAACAGATCCTAAAACCATAGGAACAGCTGTAGTTTTACCTCTGTTTCTAGAAATACAATAGCGTTCTTCCCTCAGTTATGCAATACTGTATCTTTAGCTATTTAGTTTAACAAAAAAAAATCTATTTTTGAAAAACTTTGACCTTCTTAACATACATTCTTAGAACACTGACATCTGAAATACTTGTCTAGAGAGTATTGTCCCCAAGACCTCATTTTTATATTTGAGAAAATAACACGTCCTATAATTCCATCAAAAAAACATGTGCAGTTGTTGAAAAGATAGCAAAATTCAATACTGACCATAATCACAATGTAACAAAAAACCTGGTGAAACCTCAAACTTGGTACTAGAGGTTTCTGCACCTCTTCTAATTTGTCTCTAAGAGACTATCTGAAAGACAGCCAAATGTAAATACGTCATAACATCTTAGCTGTAGTACAAACAAGGTGGCAGTGCTCTGTCATTCTAGATGTACAGGATGTAACTATAGTATCTTCACTGTGTAGTGGATGTGTCAAGAATAATTATGTTAATGCAATTGCAAATTCTGTATTGTTGTCTATTAGCAGTGTAAACTACTGAAAACTTGGCCTTGCTGATATGAATAAAGTGATTAAATACCCATCTTTACAGATATACTAGAGTTTGTCTTCTTTAAGAAACATGAATCTTAGAATTTCTTACTTTGTTCATTTTAAAATTTAAAGAAAGAGAACTATTTTAGAAACCAAGTCACAATATAAATGCATCCGATTTAATCTTCTCTGTGTGGTTCCAGAACTCTCGGGATGCATCAGTACCCAGAGGTGTGTGTGCACACACGTGGGTTTTGATTATCCCGATGTATCAGAGATGTCTAGTAACTGAACTGCACATGAACGCTGCTGCATCTAGCCCTCTAGTAGTCTGTGAACATTATCAAAGACACCAATTCTATTTTATACGTAGATATGTATACACGCACAAAGTGCATCCTGTTTTCAGAATTTCCCATCAGCTTCTGCAGACCCCCCCAAGATCCACAGGCTTGTAACACTCTCAGAACCAGTACAGAGGTGCTGTATTTAAATAAGAAGGTGTAACGCTCTCACAGGGATTACAGAGGTGATATATCGAAAGAAGGTCGTTCTAAGTTTCATGCTGGGCAGAGAACAAATACTGGAGAGTGGCAAAGGATGATGCGGTTGCAAAAACAGTTCTAAAAATCCGGGTAGGAATTTGGGAAGCATCTTCAGAGCTACTTTCTTGGCATAAACTTTATTCGCGGTGACATTTCATACATTCCAGAAGATTCTGGTAGAAATCCTGTGGTTACAGCAGACCACGTGGAGAAGTGTCAGAAGAAGACAGGACAGTGCATTCCGAAGTATCCTGCATACGTAGGATACAGACGTGGAAAAGTGCTTTGTGAGTTCCCAGTATTTTTATTTAAGAATATTAGAATGTCCCAGAGAAATGCTGCCATTGCAGTTTTGCCCTGGCAGTGCAGCTCTCCTTCAGTCGAAGTCGTCTCTACAGCTGTGGTTTTGGTCTGTGTTGCCCTGGACTTTAAATGTTTTTACACCAAGTAGGTTTTAGTTTATATATTAATACAGAATCAAAGGCAAGTAACTGACGTGTTTGATGACAAATCCTGCCAAAACCTGATTATTTCACTTGACGTAATGCCATGTACTACAATCAAATGTCTATACTTACAGATATCGAAATTTATTTTATAAAGAAAGAATTGTTGTTTATCTTTTGGAATACTGATGTTCACCTTAAGTATATTTAAGCAAATTCCAACGTAAACATCCTCAAATTTAATAGGTTTAATATGACTCATCAGTTCATAAATCCTCAGAGCCAGTTTTCCGTCCAATATATAACCCATCCCACTGCAATATGGAGGATACAACTTGAATGGATATTCATCGTAAGAGATGTATGTTTTTTTGTAAAAGCCTCTGTAGGCAAAGTTATCTATAAGGGGATAACCAGTAAAAATATTTTCTGAGGAATTTAGCTTCAGAAGAAATTTTACCAAGTTAGCAGTGTTGATGAAGACATCAGCATCAGTCTTCATGAGGAACCTAGCATTTGAACAGAACTCAGCGACCCACCTAAATGCCATGATCGTTTTCAAGGTGAGATTGTCATAAGTGTCCATGAAATCTTGGCGAATTATGTCACCATAGAGGATGCTTTCATCTTCTACCGACAGTGCTGCAGCATCGTCTTCTCTTTGAGTGTCCTCACCTAGTAAGAACAGGGTTAGAACTTGGTGTCCCCACCAGAAGTTTTGAGATCCCCACGTTATCCTGATGGCCTGCCTTGACTTCACATCCTTGGGTCTTGAAGACACCAAGATGACTAGAAACGGATTTATGTCTTTGCATTTCAAGCGCTCCCGCAGCGTGAAGAAGTAGTGTTGCTTGTAAACCGGTTCATATTCATAGAAATACAGGAGGTTTGTACGCTCAACGACAGTGTTGGAAGAAAAAGTCACGTACCACATTGTTATGACAGAAAATGCAAGGAGAAACAAAAAAATCCATTTTAATGGTCTCATATACATGACGCTAACTGGAACTGGGCAATAACTAATTTGCAGAAGTGCATCAGTCACCTTCAAAATCTGCACCACAAGTCCTGAAGTGTGTTTTTTGCTGAAAAAGAAGTGAAAAAGTAGTATTCAGAATGCTATTATTCAAATATCATCTTTTTCTGATCTTGTCTGAAGTGTCGGTTCAAAGTGTGCTGTAATACAATGAAGACAACTCCAAGACTTATTAGTCCAGCTGTTACAGACAGCATCCTGCACACCGTGAATCACTGCTGTACCCCAGAAACGAGTAGGAGCAGAACACTGAGCTGCTGTTGGGCATGGCATGGATCGAAACCTCATAGCTTTCGCCTTGGAAATTTCCCCTACGTAGACCTGATCTCCGCAAACACGTCAAGCACTGTGATCCCAGAGATCTCAGCACAACATCTTCCACTCAATTAAATCTCAAGGAAGGAATACCATGCACAGAATCTAATGGCTACAAAGTGCTCAGCAAAGTGATGTTCAGAGGCTTCAAAAATTTGCAATTTATTTTAAAGAAAAGAAGTGCTACTTGTTTTTATCAGCTGGAGCGAATCAGCCAAGAAAGCAAATCCTTTTACCAAAGATAAGTACAAGCAAATATTTCATCCCTCATTTAAGGGTTGAGCAGCTGCTTGTTCTGCATTGACTGAATAGGTGATGGGGGGAGAAGGAAAAAATCAACTTCCTTACGACCAAGGTCAGAGCTGCAGACATGCAAACACAATCCGATCTCGACATGCCAACTGAGCTCTTAAGCCGCCCAAAGAAATGGCAACTCCCACAACACGCAACACTATACAGCAATCATTTCTTTTCTAATATGTGCTTATTAAATCAAGCGATTTAATAAAGGGGCGTTGGAACCAACTTTGTCATAGTAGCTTTACAGTTGATGTAATGGGAGCAGCAGATGAGGTTCAAATCTTCAGTTTTGTAAATTCTTTGAATATTTTCCACTGAAACAGACAAGACACTACAAAATCCTCCTGCTGCTTCCATCTATTTAAGTTTCAAAGAAGAAGGGATCCCATCTGCATTATTTTCATGAAGAACCCTACTCCCATCTGCTAGCGCACGAAAACACGACAGATTCGCTCAGCTCCATGAGGCCTGCCACACAAACCGCAAACAGCAGTATCAGCACGAGAGAGGGAGACGAACCGAAGCCATTTTTCGGCTAGAGACATGCATCTTGGTCTGGAGTCCAATCCACACGGGCAGGTACTTACAAACCCCCACAGAGTCCATGCTGAAGACATTACTATAGTGTCAGGACTAGATATTCAAATCAATGTCTTTCCAAAACAAAATTTAAAAACAGAATCTCAGTCCTGTACCCTCCACTTAGTAGTGCTTACCTTCACTATATTTCTTTAAAAGTACATACACTGTGAACAGACATGAGATAGCTTTAAGCCAAAATAATTACAATGTCTTACTGTGGGAGTTCCGAATGGTTTCTAATGTTTGCAGTACTAATATTTACCCTGCACTGTAAGTATCCACAAAGACACAGCAAGGATGATGGAAGGTTCAATTTCACAGCACAATTACTATTTAACTTATATTCAAAAAGATCACCGCAGGGCTTGTAAGTGTTTTATATTAAAAAATAAATAAATCCAAAGCCCAACATAGCATGCTAGAATTTAGGTGAATTTGATTTGCCAGAGCCCACCTGCCTTGTATTGCTGTGTATGGTTTGACTTTAAATTAATGAGCCTTTAAAGGAAGCACTGGGAGCACATTTGAACGACAATGCCTAGCACGTCACTTAAAATGTATTAAAGCAATTTTATACAAATAGCTATCTAAATAGAAGACTTTTAGACTGATTCCTCTCAAAGCTGCGTTACTCCAGAAATACTAGGTGGCTAACAGGGGTCAATCTTTCGTTAAAGGTACCTCACATAACTGCAGATGAACAAGTGAGTTTTATTCAGAACTTCCTAACACAACCAATGTCCTAGCTTATAAAAACACAGAACCTCAGAAGTTTTATGTTGATTCACTTTTTCTCCACAAGGATTAAACACATGCAAGTAAAACAGAATAAAAGTTTGTCAAGTGCAGAGGAAATTCTTCTCTCTTTATATATATACACCAACCTGACTTTCAGTGAACAGTATGAAACATACATACTGGAAGAAAATAACCTAAGTTATTGTCCTGGTTTCAGCTGGGATAGAGTTAACTGTCTTCCTAGTAACTGGTACAGTGCTATGTTTTTGAGTTTGGTATGAGAAGAATGTTGATAACACACTAACGTTTTCAGTTGTTGCTAAGTAGTGTTTACACTAAGTCAAGGATTTTTCAACTTCTGATGCCCAGCCAGCAAGAAGGCTGGACAGGCACAAGAAGTTGGGAGGGGACACAGCCAGGACAGCTGACCCAAACTGGCCAAAGGGGTATTCCATACCACGTGACCATACACCCAGTATATAAACTGGGGGGGAATGGGCTGGGGGGATCTCCGCTCGGGGACTAACTGGGTATTGGTCAGCGGGCAGTGAGCAATTGCATTGCGCATCACTTGTATATTCCAATCCTTTTATTATTACTATTGTCATTGTATTAGTGTTATCGTTATCGTTATTAGTTTCTTCTTTTCTGTTTTATTAAACCGTTCTTATCTCAACCCATGAGTTTTACTTCTTTTCCCGAATTTCTTCCCCATCCCACTGGGTGTGGGGGGAAGTGAGTGAGCGTCTGCGTGGTGCTTAGTTGCTGGCTGGGGTTAAACCACGACAGTTACGTATCAGTGCTTATGTATTTGATTTTCTATAAAGAACATTTCTCAGGGTTTGATGATCAATTTAAAGTAAAAGCATATCAAAGTTTGATCAGTTCTTGACTACCTAATGGAAAAAAAAAATCTGATTATAAGGATTTTGATTCTTTATGGGCAGAGAAGCCTGATTACATGACATTTTGAACAACAGAATCGGAGACCAATGCCTGATCTGCTACATAACAAAAAATATGGAAAAATAAATCATCAGTTCAGGTCCTTTGCCCACACTGTGCAAAATACAGTCTTAAAGCTACTGTATTCTTATGAAAAGCCTGCACCACAGGGCGTCCAGGACAAACACTGTAAAACACTGTTTTGCTGTGTGACTCCGGAGGAGGTAGGAGGTCCAGTCCTCACACACCCTGCTGTTCTCTCCCCTAAGGTCACATTCCTCAGTGACATGCTAAACTGCAAGCTAGCAGAGCTTCACCAAAACAGGGCTTTTATAATGGTCAGGGGGTAGAAACTACACTCCCCAAAACATGAGACAGCTATTTTTGCAGCGCTGGGAATTCAAAATACAGGCAGTCATCCTCCACTAAGCGCAGAACTCTGACTTCAAACACAGGCAGAAAAAAGGGCAAATCAAAGGGAAAACGCTAACCACAGCCTTCGACAGGAAAATCCCCTTCTCCTCCTATTTCAAATGCTTAAACCAAAGAAATGAGGTTGAAGAAGTAAGGTCTGACAGTTGAGCTGGCACTTTTGCTCAGAGGTGGTGCAGCCGCAGACCTTCCAGCCTCACCCGGGACAGGTTCTCCACCACTTCCAGACTTTATTTGCCGTCAGTTTTTACCTTCCAGTTGTACCGCGGCGGCAGGGGACATGCAGCAGGAGCAATACCAGGTCAAGCACTGCTCCTGTCAGGGAAATACTCTCATTTGCTTCCAAGCTCTCGGCTTGCTGGCATGACGTGATAGAGCCTGAGATTATGCTGACAGATAAAACTGATCAACTTTAAAACAAATGTTAAGGAAACATGTACTGAGCATGCTCTATAGTAATTTTAGACACATTTCTCACACTCTGCTATAGCTAGGTAATTGTTGAGTGCAGCCGTTCTTGACGGGAAAAAGGTGGCAGATTCTCACATTCATTATCTAATAATTACAATAACCGATGGATAGTCCAATCTAAAGATTAAAAAAATACCATATCTATAATGTTAGATGTATAGAAACACACACACCCCCCCTTTTTTTAAGGCTACCAGTGGAAATAACTTGGAAATACATCACCGTTGCTGGCTTCTCATTTTCTATATATGGCTTACTACCAAGTGGAACGAGAGGCATTTTTGCAAGATCATGGGCTACGATGACCTAACACAGCTATACTTTAAAAATTATTTTCAGTAACATTCCAAATCGCCCAAGCAATCTTAATCGTCCGTTCCAGGCAACTGTCCCCGACGCATAAATTAATTAAGAGGGAACAGCCCCAAAGAT